GAGGGAGAAGCAGGCTTCCCGCCGAGCAGGGAGCCCGATGCGGGGCTTGATCCCAGGACCCTGGGATCATGACCTGAGCTGAAGGCAGACACTTAACCACTGAGCCACCCAGGCGCCCCTAAGACGTCACACTTTTATGTACTATGTTCAGGTGGTGTAGTAGAACAAGTGCCTTGGAAGTGAAACAAAACCAAACATGTGGGTTTTGTCCCCAGCTCTCTATTGCTAACCAGCTATGTGACTCTGGGCAATTGATATTCAGGGCCTTTGTTCAACGATATAAAACAAGCAGAAATTAGACTGTTTCTCAAAGCCTTGTCCTCAGACCAATTCATCTGGGCGTGGGATGGGACTTGCTATAAAAATTCACATTACTGCGTCCCGCCACAGTCCTACTGATTCAGTGTTTTTGGGGAATGGGGTCAGGAATCTGTTTTTTAAAATAAGCTTCCCAGGTGATTCTTGTGCACATTAAAGTTTCTTTTCTAAACTTTTATTTTTTTTTGAAGGATAACACACTCATTAAAGTTGGAGGATTATAGGATTAGAATTTCTCTCAGATTCCTTCCAACTTTAAAGAATTCTAGGGGTGCCTGGGTGGCTCAGTTGGTTGGGCGTCTGATTCTTGGTTTTGACTCAGGTCCTGATCTCAGGGTCGTGAGATCAAGCCCCACGTTGGGCTCTGTGTTCAGCGGGGAGTCTGCTTGAAGATTCTCTCCCTGTGCCCCTCCTCCCACTTCCTCCCTCTCCCTCTCTCAAATAAATAAATAAATCTTAAAGAAAATAATTCTTTTTAGAAGCAGTCCATTCAACACATTTACAAATGGGTACCTCTACTAAGCAGCCAGCTTTGGACTCCCTGTTATCTCCTTTGCAGGTCAGAGTGTAATTCTGCATGGCATACAATGGTTTCTTAGTGATTTGGAAAAGTGGAATGTTTTCCAAATGTGTGGCCTTTCTCAAAGGTCAGTTTACTGCCAGAGTGCTGTTAGGTGCACTGGAAAGTCTGGTTCAAATTGGATGTGAGTGCCCAAACTTCACATACTCTCCACATACACTGACCTAAATGTAATGCTTAATGGCAGGGGACTGTTGCCTGAGTGGGGAAGGAGATATCTGGCTGTGTTTCTGACTTGATTACAGAACCAATCTCTGCAGTTCCTGACCTCCCTCACAGGGAGCCTGAGGTGCTACGCAAGTAAACAGTATTTAAGTACCCCCCTAGAGGGGTAAAAAGATCACTGTGATGATAACTTTCTTTGGAACCAAAAGGTAAACTAATAGGTTTAAGAGTCTTCCAGTTACTAAGAGGTTAAGTTGTCTCTTTTCTCAGGCAACTAGAAATTGTTGGGAATTTTCTTGAAGGGACCATCCCCTTTACACAACTTGGCTGTCTTTAAGTTGAACCCCTGTTTTTAAACATTTATACAAAGTCTTCATTTTTTGTATTATTTTATGCCACATGAAACAGGTGGGTAACTTTCTTGGTTTCCCGCAAGCTAACAGACATCTTTCTGCAACACTAGGCAAGATGCTTAGCTTGCATCAGTTTCCTTAGTTGTGAAATGTAGGGGAAGAGCAGAGGATGCTTAATCCATTCGAGCTCTAGCACTACATCCATGTAGAAGAAGGTAGCATGATATGGGGGAATTCATGGGCTTTGAAGTTGGATGGACCTGGGCTAGAATTTTAAGCTTAGTTTTCTCAACTGTCTAACAGGGGGTAATGACATGCTATCTCTCAGGGTAATAAAAGCACTCAGCATAGGGGTTGGCACAGAAAGGCATTCAGAAAGGTGAGGCGTCCTGGCTCCCTATTTCTTCGTCTTTCAGCTCACATCTGGTTGGGCCTCCCTTTACTGACAGAGTGAGAAGCAACTCCTAGTCCTTATTCCCGCTCTAGGAAGGAAGACCAACAGTCCTGTGGGAAACAGGTTCTTGGTTTCTTCCTGGCCCGGTCACCTCTGGAGCATGAAGTTACCATTTCAGGTTTGTTGAAGCGTGGCAAGAGGTAACTCCAGAACCAAAGGTCACTTGGGCTACAGATGTAATGGGGGCTGACAAGGGCACAGCAGCAGATCCCTAAAATCTTCTTCTTGGGGAGCAGGTGGAGTAACCTTCTCTCTGCAGTGAGAATCTAGAAAGGCTAACAGCATTTGAGGGCTGGAAGCAACCATCAAGACCCTCTATTAGAGGAGGAAACCAAGGGACAGGGAGGGAAAGTGACTTTCTCATGCTCACATAGCCAATCAAACAGCAGAGATAAGAACATTCTGGATCCTCAGTGGAGACAGAATAAAAAAAATAAAAATGAAAAAAAAAAAAAAAGAACATTCTGGATCCTCTAGAGTTCCCACTCAAAGGCTCTCTGCATCTTAACGCAAATATTGTCAGTATAGGTTCAGAGCTTGGACTCTGGAGGTGGATAGCTCTGGTTAACCCCTCTCCTCCCAGCTCTGTGACCTGGGGCATAAGGCGTCACCCCTCTGGTCTCAGTGGTCTCATCTACAAAGCCGGGTAGTAAACCCTACCTGTTGTTAGGATTAAAGGCAACACTTAGTGCTTGACGCAGTGCCTGGCTCGGCTTCCACAACAGGTTGTCCTAACGATCATTAGCGTTCCTCTACCCTTCCAGTTCGGATCTGGACTTCCCTTTGCAACCCTCTACGGCATGCAGGAGCGAGCGTGTCACGGGGCCGAGGAGCCCGCAGCCAGGGCGGGCGCTCCCCGGGGCTCACCTGACGAGGCCAGTAGCACCTTCGCGCCGCAGCACTGGAAGCAGTGCAACAGGGACTTCGCGCGGATGTTGTAGTTGAGGCACGCCATGGCACAGCCCATTTTGACCAGCCCCAGCCACAGCCACACGTAGGCTGGGTCGTTGCCCATGAAGATCGCCACGCAGTCCCCCTGGCGCAGGCCGAGGTGGGCCCGCAGCGCCCGCGCCACTTGGTTGCTGCGCCGGTCCACCTGCGCGTAGGTGAGCGTCTCGTCGCGGAAAAGCAGGAAGGGCTTGTGCGGGCTCTTGCGCGCTTTCTGCAGAAAGAGGTGCAGGAGGGTGCGCACCGGCCGCCTCTGCCGGTAGCTGCGCACCTGCCGGGCCACGCGGGCCAGCCGCAGGAAGTAACGCATGTCCTGGAACAAGTAGGGGCAGCAGAGGTTCACCAGCAGCGGCAGGAGCAGCAGCCCCGCCAGGGCCGTGTAGATGGCGGGCAGCATGACGGTGGCGGGGCCCCCTGTCCCCGCGAGGACAGTGGGTGCGCTCCAGGCGTGCAGCGCGGCGGCCGGGAGGGCTCCGGACGGACGGCAGGCGGGCTGCGCGGGGGCGCGGGGCGAGGCTGGGGCGACCGCGGGGCGCCTGGGCTGCGGGCACCAATGCCGGCTCCCGGGGAGGTGGAGCGGTGTGTGGACTGCGCGGGTGCGGGGCGGGAGAGGACGGCTGAGCCCGCCCCCTTGTGGGTGTGCAGCTACCTGGGCCGGCAAGGCTGCACTGCGGCTCGCCCGGGTTTCGACCGCCGCTTGGCGCGAAGCAGGGATCTGTCTTGTGACCGATGTACTTTACACCTCCGAGCCACAGTTTCCCTGTCAAAATGCTGATGACAAGACGCACTTAGCGGACGTGGAGAAGTTTAGAAGAGAGAGTGTAGGCATAGGGTTGTTATTTATTGCTACCACCAGCGGAGTGAGTGCCTTACAGAAGTGATTTAATGTTAGTATCAGTAAAGCGCTTTATAAATGTGAGAGTCCGGTTATTAATTAGTAATGGGTACCAGGTGCCACTGCCACATCGGATTCCCGCCTGTCCCTTCCTGGTCCCAGAGGCTTTCCACCTCGTCTCTGGTCTTCAGATTGGCACCCCGCCCCCCCGCCCCGCCCAAGTGCCGGGCGGTCTCCTGTGGCGAGGATTTCAAGGTTGAACAGAAGCACCAGCCGTTGTCACCTCTGTCTCCTCCCAGTCCCTGGGCTGTCGGTAAGGACAGGACACTGGTCGGAGTCGGGCCTCTGCCAGCGCAGCCAGTCCAGATGGGGCGTGAGGTAGGGCCACACTCTTGCCTGCTGAAATCAAGCTCCGGCGATTTTAGACTTTCATTCGTTTGTATGCTTGTTTGACTTTTAATATTTTGTCCTAAGTGATTTTTCTCTCTTGTATGTTGAAGATTTTCAACTAGTGTTAGCCTAATTCAACAGACATTTACTAAGGGGTTCTATCAGAGAACATTACAACACAGAGGACATTAAGTAAACATTCGCATCTCTCAAAAGCCAATTTTTTTTTTTTTTAGTGTGATCCTCTCTTTTAATTTCCCTTAGTGCTGCTTCTATAAATAAAGTGAATACTTGCTGCTTGCTGCCGAAGAGGGTCAGGATCTAAGTAAAGCAGTGTTCTTTCTTCCCCTCCTGTCTTCCTGCATTCATCATCTTATTCTTATGAGATAGCCACACCTAATGAATGCCTACTCCTGCCGGACACTGCTAGGGGCTTCCCTGTAATATATTTTTTGGGAGCCTCACAGTCATCTAAAGGGGGCACTTTCATGCTCATTTACAGACAGGAAAGGGACACTTCGGTAAATTAAGAGAGCTAGTATGTGACTCATGAGTTTTGAAACTGGTATCTGTTTGGCCCTGGGGCCCTTCCTTAGCAACCACCGTTCACTGCCCTCTTATTCTCTAGGTTTCTATCCATGTTCTTTTCAGCAATCTTCTTTAATTTTCTTTTTCACAATCTTCCCCCCTCCATTTTTTTTTTTTTTTTAGCCCCCTCATTTTATTCCTGGGACCTGCTCAAGCAACCCTTCCTTTGCCTTTTCCTGAATCTTTCACGGCAGATCCCACTACCCTGGAGTGATGGGTTTACATCATTTCTCTGGCATGCGTTGGGGGCCTTGATTATCCCTGAGGAGTTGACTGTAGTGTTAACCAAAGGAGGGATCAGGACAGAAACCATTCTTGTAGGCACCTTTTCTTTCATGTTGAAGCTCAGAGCAGCCCTCCCTTGACATCCCAGTGCCACCCCTGTCCCTTCACGGCTAGTCACTTCAGTAGCCTCCTAGACCCCCCCTTGTCATGCCTTTGAATAGCTACTTTCCAGAGTGCTAGACTGTTGCAAATGCTCCCTTTCTTCCCTCTTATTTTGAGGATCACTTTATCCTTGTGCCTCAGCAGTTTTTCAGTTCCAAGTGAAAGAAGACAAGATCCAAACTTGCTTACGTAGAAATAGGAGTTTAAGCAGCTACCGCAGAGTCCAGGGGTAGGACAGGCTTCGGATGAGCCTTCATTGGTGGCTTAAGTGCTAGGACCTGGACCCCGTTTCCCTTCCACCATTTCTTTGCTCCACCTCCTCTGTTCTCATGTAGGCTCCCCCTCATCATCCAAAGATGACTGCCAACCAGCGTTTTAGGGTTATATGCTTCCCACGTCAACTTCAGACAGAAATATAAGAATCTTTTTCTTAGTTCTTATTTAAAGAAAAAAAGAAATCTCTGATTGGGTTATGGGCCCATCCCCAGAGCAGTCTTTGTGGCCTAGGGAACAGAAATGTTGATTGCTTTAAGCCAAACAAGGCTCACCCGTGGAGCTGGGGTAGAGTTAATCCTACATATCTTGGAACTCTTTTTCCCAATGATTCTAGCTTCAAGCCTGGGCTCCACCTTGCACTCTACCACCAGGCTAATGTCTTCCTGGAAATACTGCTATCATCTTATGACTGCCTAGTCATCTTCAGTGGCTCCCCATTTGCTTCCTGTCTTCTCAAATTGTTATATATGAACAGCATGCTTAAATATACCTGGGCTGGAGCTGACCGTATGCTCTGGGTCCTGCCTGGTTCTCTTGGGGGTAGAAGAGATCAGTAACTTAGCACATTGGTTACCCATTATAGGAACATCTGCTGGGAAACTCTGGTTAATAAATGAAGTTCAGACTTTATTTTCTGACTCTTCTGAATCTGACTTGAACTTTCACTGTACTCAATAACTATTTATTGAGTTTCCACTATAAGCAGAACATCACCAGGCATTAAATATTTTGAAATGGACCAAAACTTAATTCCAACTATTCCTTTTCAAAAACATCTTATTTTAGTAAATCTGGTCTACGACCTCAAAAAAAAAAAAAAAAAAAGGCCCTGCACATTCCTCTCTCTATGGCTTTGTTCTGGCTTCTTTCAAACACCCCTGAACTCTCCCCTCTAAATCCTAACTCTCCTTTAAGGTAGCGGTTCATAGATGTCTGGCTTTCTCAGTCCAGTAGCATTTCAAAACAAAGTTAAGAACCCCAAATAAAATACCAACTTTTACATTTTTCAAGTAAAAACAGCTCCCTGCCCACCAACTACGGTCTGTTTTTATTATTATTTCATAAAAGAATGACTTCTTTAGCACTAAAAAGGAAAGTATAACTGAACCAGACACTCAGAAATGGCTAATTTTACATTATGTATCTTTTGCCACAGAAATATACAAAACAGGGAAAAACACACAGAAAAAGAGGAATTCAGTCCTTTTCAAGAACGGATAACAATAACGCACCAACATATAAAAAAGATAGAGATTAAAATATTTTCGAATATAGAAAAATACTTTTATTTGGTTTATTATATCATATACAAATAGTTTCTATGCAAGTTTATCCATTTGGAAATATAAACTCAACAGTGAAGCATGAAGTAGAACCAAATCTTGGGCTTTGATATAACTTAGGATTGTTTCAGCACTGAGACCAGACCTCAAACCCAGAGCCTCTCCACCCCAGTGTCCTTAGTAAGGCTGTCTACTCCCCACCTCTCCCATGCCCCTACACCCGCTGAGCCTGTCTGCTACCTTCCCTGGGATCTAGATTTTCAAGTCTAGTCCTTTCATGGCCAAGCACTTGAGTGCAGCCTCCTAGACTCCTTGTTTCCTTAAACTTTCTGCCCAGAGTGCTAGGTCACCTCAAAGGTCCACTCTCTTCTATCTTATTCTGTGACATTGCTGGAGGAAGTCAGGGGATAGACGTGATTCCTGTGAGTGCATGCTGGCACCTTCTAGCCTTGGTCAGGACTTGTCTGCTCCTTCAATCCCATTCATCCATCTCTGCTGGTGTCCTGGAGAAGGCCTCTCAGTGACAGTTCCCAACTCCCTTCAAAGTCCCCAAACCCAGCCACAACTGTTCTTTCAAAGTGGGTGGTCACCCCTCCTACTTTATGGAGATGAAGTAGCCCACTGGTTCTCAAACTAAATGGCCATCAAAATTACCCAGAAAGCATGCTAAAATATAGCTTGCTAAATTTTTCTTTTTTTTTTTTCCACTTGCTAAATTTTCTGATTCAATAAATCTTGCATGGGGCCAAAGAATTAATGTTTTGAAGAAGTTCCCAGACAATACTGATGCTGCTGGTCCAGGGACTACACTTTGAAAACCACATATTTAGCTCAGTTGTTTCCCACGTGCTCAGCAGAGCCCTGGGACTGCTGAAGAGCCACTGAGGAGAATTCCTTGCTGAACCTGGGAAAGGGGTTCTGGAATCCTACACTAGCTCATCAGAGCAGCTCCATATATGTCTCTTTTACAAATTGGACTTCCACGTAGACCTCCCATGAGCAAAGTTTTCCAAAAACATCTTCTTTTAAATCCTCTAGCCCATGAGGATCTATCTCTTGTCCTGAACTTATAAACCCACCACACAGCTTGGCTTTTGATTTTGTGTCTGTTAGTTTTGCCTTTCCCAAATAGAATTCAGCTTTCCAGAATGAAGTCACGGTAAAGAGCATGAGACTTAAAGTCAGAGAACAGGGGTTCAAGTCCTCGTCCATCACATATTGGCTGACATAACTCACCTCAAGGTTACTAGGAAATGCTGAGCAGTTACCTTGTATTAATTCTGTAGGCCTTGAGGTAGTGCATGCACAGGGGCGATAGTTGGCAAAGATGTATACATTATGAAGCCTGCCATTTTGTGACATTACTTAGTACAAATAGGAATCTTGTGATTGACTCATTCAATGGCTTATGAGAAAGGCTGCCACTGTGTTGTCTTCCAGGAATCAATCACATTTCTTGAAATGAGGGGTGCCTACTATCCTGTGGAATAGCCAGCATGGTGGCGTTTGGATAGGGGTGTACAGAATGTGTAGTATTCAGAGAGGGACATGGTAAGAGGTCAGCAGGGATGGCATATGCTGAGATTGGCCCTTCTTTTGGAGAAACGAAGGAGAGGAGAGCCTGGGGACAATGGGTTGTTGGTATTAGACGTGAGGGAGCAGAGGGCTCCTCCTCTATTTTTTTTTTGGCATCCCAGTTGGGCTTGCTAACTACATAATCAAGACAAAATACAATTTAAAAAAAAGGTGTTTGTTCTCACTAGTTCTGACCAGAATGCCTTTGATTTGGGGTGGAATTCTAACAGGGAA